GGGTGGGGTCCCTCCCATGGGAGACAGTCCTCCACGAACTTCTTCAACATGGGTCCTTCCCACGGGCTGCAGTTCTTCACGAGCTGCTCCAGTGTGCGTCCCTTCCACAGGGTGCAGTCCTTCAGGCACAGACTGCTCCACCGCGGGTCCCCTGCAGGGTCACAAGTCCTGACAGAAAACCCACTCGTGTGGGCTCCTCTCTCCACAGGTCCACAGGTCCTGCCAGGAGCCTGCTCCAGCACGGGCTTCCCACAGGGTCACGGCCTCCTTCAGGGCACATCCAGCTGCTCCACCGTGGACCTCCCTGGGCTGCAGGGGGACAGCCTGCCTCACCATGGTCTTCCCCACGGGCTGCAGGGGAATCTCTGCTCCGGCACCTGGAGCACCTCCTCCCCTCCTTCTTCACTGACCTTGGGGTCTGCAGGGCTGTTTCTCTCACATGTTCTCACTCCTCTCTCCAAGCTGCCGTTTCTGTGTCACAGCAACTTTTTTCCCTTCTTAACTCTGTTCTCCCAGAGGCGCTACCACCGTCACTGATGGGCTTGGCCTTGGCCAGTGGCGGGTCTGTCTTGAAGCTGGTTGGCATTGGCTCTGTCAGACATAGAGGAAGCTTCCAGCAGCTTCTCACAGAAGCCAGCCCTGTCACCCCCCACCCCCGCTACCAAAACCTTGCTGTGCAAAGCCAATACAGCATACAAGAGTGCCAAGCATTTTGCTCAGGGACTGCAGAGCCCAGAAGCCAAGTGCTCTCCCTCCAAGATGCGCTCAATGCATTGCACAGTCACACTGGCTCTAGCTCCTTTCTTTTCAGCCCTTCATTGTTACCTGTGCATGTATCTGTGGGCCTGCAATTCAGGATTTTGAAGTCAAAAGGTGGCACAACATCTACAAATCAGTGCTGCAGAGCTTGCTTACCTGCTGTTACATCCCAGTAAGCACCAAAGATTCAATCCTCCTCTCAAAATTCAGTACAAGGCCACTTGAGAACAACTTTCTTATGACTTACAGGTAAAATTAACAAAAACCTCAGAGCTATTTCTATCAAAAGACAACTAAAAATTAAAGAAACTCTGTGCAGACTTCAAGCTTCTCTGGAAGCCAAGCTACTATAAATGTAACAAGTTAAATTAACTCCCCAATAAGATAGAAGTGGAATTTAAAGAGTTTATCATTATTTGCTCTTACTTACACTTCAGTGAGCAACTCATGACATCATCAAGATCATCATACAAGAGCTAACGGTCTTCAATTAAGATTTCTAATTCAGAAATGAAGGTATCTTTTTTGCAGAGAAAAGTATGAATACCTAACTGCATCCTTAGCTTCCCAGTGAAAAGAGTCAGCTATTGCTATCAAGCTATTTTAAAAGGTGAGACCACCTGTATTACTTTTGAGCACTCTAAGGAAGTACTGTATAATTTAGGATAAGGATATTTATTCCTTACACTTGCACCAAGATACCATAACCGAGGCTCTACAAAGCACCACACAGTGACTATATTTTGTAGGTCTGCAGCTAAATGAAGACATAAAAAAGTGGAAGGAAAAACAAAATAGAAGAGACAGATTATGCATCTAAGGCCAGCAAAAAGGGAACCAACTAGGTGCAAAACATGCTTCAGCAAAGAAAATAATTATCACTGCACAACAGAGACATCTGTGTTTTCTAGTCTGTGAAGTCTGATAAAATAATGGCTTCAGCAGAGCTCACTGGAAATAGCTTAGTATTGCTGACATGTAACAGAGACTAGTTGTTGCTGCTGGATGGAAAAAAGTACTATAAAATTCTGAATAATTCAATTATTTGTGTGATAGGAGGAAAAAAAACTATTACAGTTTTGAGTTAGATGAAGAAGAGACAGTGTCTTCCAGCTCGTATGTAATACGCACAACAAACCTTGCAAGATGATGAAAGAGTCCACAGAGTGGAACTTTCAAAGGTTATTTCCAAATCAAGGACACACTTGCCACTAAGACCTAGAAATACGAAAATATGCCCAATTTCTCTAAATATACCAAAAGACTGTAATAAAGTAAGCCTTTTCAAGGCTATCTCATGCTTGTGTGTGACTGCTGAATCTTTTAAGGAAACATTTGATTTTAAAAGTTTCAGAAATTAAATGTTTTGTAATTTTTTTTTTTTTTGTAGGTCAGTTTCCTGACGTGAAGTAGTTGAGAGAAAAACCTCCAAACACCTATGTGGATAAAGTTTTTGATATACTCTGTTTTGCATTCAGGATTGTAAGGACCTTGCCACTACAATAATTAACTAACTGACCGCATATTTCTGCATACAAATCACCGCCTTGAATACTTTGCTGGCTGACATAATATTTGCTGCAAGTGAATGAAGCGAGAACTTCTATAGTCAGTCACTCACCTCTGAGAAACAGCTGACTGATAATGCAGAAAATTGTTTAGGAGGCTGCACGCAATACTGCAAACCTCTTGCTGAACCAGGAGATAAAAATCAATAGTGAATAGGCAAGAGACACTGTTGCCCTGAGACTGTGCATGTTAACATCTGGCAGCCACCAAAAGGGCAGCTGCAGTGGCATGACATCTGCAGGCTGCAGCTTCTATCAAGAACAGAAACCAGAGATAGTTTTCCTCACCACTGCTCGCATTACTACACTTGCTTACTAATATGAAATCAGTGTTTCTTCCAGGTTTTGTTTTGTTATGAATTTCTTGTACATAGCTGGAATGTTGGGTTTTAGTTTCTAAATTCTAGAAAAACTAAGTTACACAAAATCCTGTCTGTATGTGGTATACTGTCTCATCCTGTAGTCATAAAGGAACACAAGTCCCAGGAAAAATACTATATTCTAATTAGAAAGGAAAATGATCACTTAGGATGGATTCCGAGGACAGCAAAACAGGTTATTTAATGAGCTTTCAGCTTTACTTCTCTTTGTTTGAAATTGTTATGTAAGAACAAAGAATGTCAGGGGAGTAGGTCCCTAGGCAAAACGTGAATATTAGAAGAAAAGGATTACATATTTAAGTGCCTAAGCACATGATTAAAACAACAATCTTTTGCCTTTTCAATAGCTTTACATAATATCACCATGATTTTGAGAATTAAAAAACTTCAGAGCAATTAGTTATTCAGTTTAGAAACAGACTGCTAATGTGTCATCTTTTCCTCTTTGACCCTCTAACTAAATAAATGTATTACCTTTGTGATACCGCAAATAACACTGCTTCAACTTGAAAGACTCACGTAGCTGTTTGGAAAACTGAAAAAAAAAAAAAAAAGCCTCCAGCTGAAACTATATGGGGATTGTTAACTGGGCAAACCAATTAGATAAATTGCAATGCAAACGGTTTGCTGAGCTTCATGCTATCAAGCTTACAAAAATCAACACGTTGTCAGAAGCTGTATCTGCTTCCATTCAATGAACGTTAGTGGGTACATACAGACACTCACAGAAACTTTGCTGCCAAAAGAGCTCCTATGCCTGCGTAGGAAAGCCGGAGGGGCAGAATGGCCCCATTCCCCCTACCACTGTCTATGATGACTGAGTCTTCCTCAGAGCTTTCAAGTCCAGGCACTGGCCTGATTTTACCTGGACAGATTACAGAGCAGAAAGAAAGCACTGCAGAAGCAGCGATACACTGACAGTAAGGTTACAGACGGAAAGAATGTGAGAGCTAGTACAAGTGGGGAGAAGAAGCATCATCATACTAATTTTGCTGTGTGTTCATGACACATTTAAAGGGTTCTGAACAAAATCCAGGAGTAGCAGATATTCCAACAAGAATATAAGGAAATCTTATACTTCATACAGGATGTTAATTTAGCTTATTTAAAAAAAATACTTGCTTAAAGTATCCAAAGTTGACAAACTAATGCACATGTATACTTCTGGAACTAAAAAACCAACCCAGACTGCAAGTATTACTGAAAACCATCACATGCTGGGCTAGAAGTGTAAAAGTATGTTCTAACATAACAAAGCAGTGTCATGTATGTATATACCATAGAAAAGATGAAGCTCCAAAAGCTACTTCCCAGTTTTCTTTTTAAATCTATACCGTAAATCTACATGTATGTTACTGAAAGCATGCAACACTAAACTACCCTTATAAGGTAAGTGGAAATATCATTTATCAAATCTAGTAAACAGGAAGATATAACCTACATAAGAAAAACCCCACAAACAGCCAAGGAAAAGACGCGAGTACTGCCCAAGATTCTGGTACCAAATAATGTGCTTGCATGAAATACTTATTCTAAAGCACATTTAACTGATACAGAGCAAGTATGGCAATAATAAAGTGTCAGGCATGCAAATTATGTAAAGACACGCACATCCCACCAGCAGACACTGCCAAACTGTAATGGGTGAGTAAGGCTTAACTTCTGAACCTGCAATCTTTGCGGAACTTGAAGCCAGATTTGAAACAATGCAGAAGTATTCTCTGCTGACATATTTACCTCAATCCATCAGCAATAAGCTTGGATGAAAAATGGGAACTAAAATAAGGATATGAAACTTCAGTTTACATTTCAACAGGACAGAACTGGGAAAATTCTGTTCTCTGTCATGTGGGTTAAAAAAAGAGAAAAAGCATTCAGTGATGATACTTTACTTCACATCAACATAAAACACAGTAAAATTTGCTAACCTAACCTCCACTTAGAATCTCTATTTCCCTCTGCTCTTGTCTTCAAATCAGTTTATTTAGCTCCAGGCTATTCTTCTGGATCCATAACATCAACAATGATTAAAGTAAAAAGCAGAAAAAATTCCTAAATAGACTGGATTTCTTTTTTAAACCTTTGTAGTGCATTCACAGTGAAAAATATGTTTAAAAATCACAAAGCTAAAACTCTTGACTTAAAAATAAAGAATTCTCAGGTTATTATGTATCTTCTTTTGGGATGGTAAGGAACATCCACTTAAATCACTGTGATTCTCAGAGAAAGTGTCTATTTTTTAAAAACAAACAAATATTCTGTTACGCCTCCCAAGGTCTCTAGAGCTACTTACAGTTCCAGAATAAGAATGACATCTGTTTTGTTCTCATAAACATCATGCAGCGTGATCACATTAGGATGTTGAATCTCTTTTAGTATGCCGACTTCGCGCTCGATATCTTCCCGGCTCACTCCACGCCGGCTGGATTTCGTTCTCCGTTTTTTGATGAATTTTGCTGCAAACTGCTGACCAGTGCTTTTCTCACGGCATTTTTTCACTACAGCAAACTGCCCACTAAAAAAAAGAGAAAAAAAAAGAGAAAGAACAAAGATGAGTGTTTGGTTCAAGGAAGTTTAGAGTTAAGAGTAGCGTCTATTTACTATGGTGGGGGAAAACAGCTGTACCTCTGAACTACCAACTTGACTAAAGTACATTACTGCTTTTTATGTGGTCTAGAATAACATCTGAAAAAAACCCAGAAGAGGCAGAAAAGGTACATTAAGGTACTGCTTTTACATCACACAAATGTACATACATACACGTTTCAGCATATCTGTAAGTAAAAGGTAACAGCTATGTAGACCATTGGATTTTTGGCAAATATGTGCATTGGGGATTACTGGAGAAAAGTAATAGTTTCTGTATTTCTCCTTCCATATGCATGTTGAGGATAATTCTTTTTTGGTTCTGCAAGACAGACAGTCCTTAGTTTCTTCCAATCTATATGATCTGTCAATATTCACTTTATTCTATCTTCACGTTTGGTTTTTTAAAAGTTTTTAAAACAATACTCCGTTTCAGGATGCTGCTTCTGCTTTTAGTTTTAAAGGCACTGACTAAATACAGTAATATTAAGAATTACAGTTATTGTATCATCTTGTTAAGTAGGAAGAGTTTGAAGGTGAGAAAAGGACCAAGGCACCGGGGAACAAAAACCCGTGACTGTGTTACAAATCAGAAGAAACTCCAGGAAGCAGCTGACTCCAGCATGTTATCATTGACATATGAGCCTGTTGCTGCTAGATGTACTACTTCAGATCAGAAACCTCCAGGAATCTAATGCTGAATTAAAGGAAGTTTTCCTTCTAAGTTTTCTTAATCTCTTGCTGAGGATTCTCTAGCTATTCTGTTCTTGGTTTACTTCACTGTATGAAGAATTTGCAGAATAACAGACTGATACCAATGAGAAAATTTTCTGAACTTAGCCTACCCTGTTAACTGAAGAAGTGGCGTCCCCTAAAGTGGACTTAGAATAGCGGTTAAAAGCTAAGCCTGCTAGGGTTGACTATCTATGCAGTGATGCAACATGTAGGCATGTATAATTCCACCCAGTACCTGGAAAAGGAGCTAACCTATATTAGTGGTTAATTAATTACAACTGACAGATCTCTAGGAAGATGCATCACCTGCAAAAAGGGCATTACATAATGACAAAGTGCCAAGTGGGAATCACTCAGAGCTACGCATACCATGCATGAACTCAATGCACAACACTACTTTATTACAGCAGAATGAACGTGCCACATACACTGACAGAGTAATTAAGCAATTAAGGAACGCATGACAGAAATAGAAGATGATAACTGAGTTTTATGCAATAAATGAAGATAATAAAATGCTGTAAGGGAAAACCATGCTCATGACTTTTCAATTTAGAGGGCTGATCAGCTGAGAATACTTTATGCTGCTGGGTCACCACTGCCACCATTACTATGCTGACCCCATACAGAACCCTGAGTGACAAATTGTCTTGAACTGGGATAGGCGGTTGGGCGAGGCTAAATGACTGTCACCTGCAGAAGGCAGAGCAGAGATGGATCCTCTCCTGTGAATGCCTAGAAAGGGACTCTAGAGTAGCCACCACCAGCTGGGAGGCCTTTGAATGCAGCCACAGGCAGTGAAAGAAATAAACTGCGAGAGAAGCAGGCAACAGCCTTTTAAGTTTGAGGTGTTGTTTTATTTCAATGTTACGATCACCATTCAAGTTTCATTCTTCCTTATTTCAGAAAACAGATTATGAACTTGTGAGATGACTTTATGTTGCATGACAAAAATCCTTGCCTTAAATTCCACGCCCCACCAATTCCGCACAAAGTTGTCAAGGACCAGGTTCACAAGACAGGGCCCAACACATTATTATTACAAACCACAGTGGACAGAGCAGTGCTTTAGACCGCTTCCCCATTACACATAGGCTGAAAAACCTGCTCCACTTGCCTAGACCTGGTCAGCTCTTGGACACCGAAGAGGTTCATATGGGACTGGCAGACAAGGCACAGGACCTCTGAAAGATCTGTGTCATCCTAAACTGGGAGCAGAGGGCTGGACAAGGTACCCTACGGTACATCAACCTTCTCTGCTTAGTTCAGTTCAACTCCGCAACAACTTTTCCTGCAACAGCGGCTCTGGGTTTGATCTCCAAGGTCTGAGCAATTTTGCACTGTGAGACAGACAGACAGAGTGGAGCACGCGCTTAGGTATTTGCACTGCTGCAGAGAAGTGCAAACAGAGTTTTCTGGCCCTTGCTTACATGGGGGCAAAGTGGTGATTCTCTCACTCTCTCCCCGACAACACACACATCTCCACAGAGATATTCAGCTTTATTCAAAAAGCAATCAGCTTTTCAGAAAATTCACAGTTCAGAGAAACGGCCAAGTCGGGTACTAGACAGGTGTAGGCATCACCACAACCCTGAACAGCTACTCAAGCTCACAGACCAGAAAGAATTAAAAAGCCACTGCTTGCCTTTTGGCCACCTGCCTGGCCTTCAGGTTAGAAGCCTAAACTGCCTGACAGAGGAAGAAAAATATTTCTGCTTATGATTCATCCATAGGCTTGAATGCTACGTGGCTAACCACTTTCTTATCAGTGCTTACCTCATAAGTTTGGCAAAAGCTACTGCTTCATTTAAAAACACAAAACAAAACAAAACCCCCACAATGCAAACCAAACCAACCCAACAACAAAATCCAAAACACTAAAAAACAAAATTACTGTTAACATCAGCTCTGGAGAGGCTGGGACTGAAAAGTAACTCTGAAGTACGTGGACATACAATGTATTTTGATATTCAAAAAGATTTAATTATAAAAGTTGACTGGGATTAAGAGTTATCTATGTTTCACTGACAAAGCATATATCATTGACTTTTGGAAAATTCTGGTATTTGAATTTCTGGTCTTTAGCCCTAACAGATTTTTTTCTTTAGCACTTCTTCACTGAACAGAGTAATGCATTATAGGCTTCCTTCTAAATAAAAAAACATTCTGCAAGTGTTTTTAAACATGTGCTGGCTGTGGACCTGTAAGCTAAAGAAAGATGATTTTTCCACAGGATTATTCATATTCGAATTACACCATTCCCCAAAGCCACTTCCTGCTTCCGATGCCCTTAAAGCTAAGGCTGTTTAATCTTATTTTGGCAATGTGTCAACTATGATGTTACAGCATGAAGGTGACCTACTGAAACAAAGGGGACCAGGTAAGACAAGTAGATCTCCTCTCTCCTCCTCTTCTGAGCTAGGTAGCTTTATTTTTTCACTCTTCTACTTTTTTCTCCAACTACAACTACCTGTTTGAAGGATGTCCTGATATATCACAATTCAATATCAAAGTGTTATCAGAAGACCAATACGTTGTTTAAAACCACATGACTTTATAGATTGGTCCCATTCACAGTTTATTAGGATGTCAGGCTCCAGAAATCTTTTGACATTGCTCAAGTCTGCAAGAAAACTACCAACTAAGAGGTATCTAGAGTAAGTGCCAGTTATACACCAAATAACCTTCTTATTGTTGCTGTTGTGGTATTCAGCACATAACACCACAATTAGTTGTTTGTTATTAAAATGCTGTACATGCAGATCACACTTAAGCTGCAATCAAAGCGGCTATTTCATGCCTGGGATCCCTAAGCCACACCATTTTACAACTCTCTCTGAACTCCTGTTTTAAAAGCAGAGGAGAGAGATAAATCAAAGGGTATTTACTGGGTTTTAAACCCTAGAACTGCAGCGACAAGCTGTTGCAAGTCAGCTCTGTATGGGCTAGCATATTTATACCCAGTAATATTCTCCCACAGATCCTACAGTTTCAGATCCAGCTTTCATTCATACAGCATCTTCAAAGCCAGAAAAGCCCTTTAGTTTTTTAAGTTCCCTTGCTCTTGTAGATTTGATTTAAAGTGGGTGGGGTCAAAAAATGATTGCCATTTTAGGACACAATTACACTGAAAAAAAAAACCCCAGAAGTAAATCACAAACTCAATAAAGTATCTGACATAATTTTTTTTACCATGTGGCAGAATTAGGTTAAACAGCGAAGCAGGATGACAGCTTGACATGAGAACAAATACTGCTGCTAATAGCAGTAATTTGGTTTGTGATCTTGTAATTCTTATGCAACCAGCAGTTAATTACTATCCTAAATCCACTCTTTTTGGGACACTTGGCACAGTATCTCCATACCCAGTGATTCTTCAGACTCGCTTCAGAACGAGTGCTTATGCCATTACCTAATCATTACATTTCTCCATCTTTTTTACGTCATAAGATGACACACTGCCCTTCATAATACACACATATATATATATATGCGCAAAAGTTATGCAGCAAGGTGATGGAATCACCAATAAAGCACCTATACTCCACCCTTTATTGGTCGTGGCTTAGCAGGATCACAAAACAACTACTCATTAGCATGAATTATAGACAGTTTTAACTACAGAGATGGACATTTTAGAATCAAAGGGAAAAAAACCAAAAAAAGTCCTTTCATTTTTTCCCAGAAGGATGATCACAGTGATTAGGGGTGGCAGACATCTTGTATTTCTCCCCACTCCCAGCCTTCTGCACCAGGTCTTCCCAGCTGTGTGAAACTCTTGCCCCAAGAGCCCTCCAAAAGAGGTCCAAGCTGGACACAGAGATGCTCAAGTAACCCCCAGTGTCACGACACGGGCTGGCCAGAGCAGGGATTCTTGTTAAATTCAGAACTCCCTCAGGCTAATTAAGATAAAACGACACCAAATGATCAGTTAAACACTTTATTCGTGGCAGAAGCAACCTGAACTTGGGAGGCATAACAGTAGGTTGTAGGGTTTCTCGCAACAGGACTTGCCATGGAACTACCTCAGTAACCCATGTAACCCGTGGTAGCCACATACATCAGTTCAGGGAAGACAATAAGGAGCTCCCTCCTGTTGAGTCACGAGGTTCAGAGCGGACCCCCTTGCTTTCTAGACTCCTTCTCAGAGAGGAGCCCAGGAGCGTCTGGATCCACTCCTAGTCCCAGACTTGG